CTATCGTTCTATACATGACTTATGGGAACTCGGGTTGTGGTCTCGAGATCCATACAGCACTCGGCTGCGCCTCGTGCTGTATGAGTCTCGAGACCACACCCCTCGTCTCCATAAATCACTATAGAACTCTAAACGCACATTATATCTTACATACATGCGTGGCTCTTATCCATTCTCATGGTCTCGCTAGCTCGCTGAGAGTCTAACACAGCTCCAACATGCAGGGCTCGATCTATCCAAGAATTGTAACTTTTGATGCCTCCACAACACACAGTGCGATGCAATGCAGTAAAGGAAAGCAAGAGCTAATGTGCATATTACTTCGGTTTTCGTGCCATTCTTTTTTGAATGCAGTAAAATCATCATCTAGTTATGAACCCATTGGTATCAGTCTTTTTTGCCCTAATTAATGTAAATTTGGTAAACTGACGGACAGCACACTCACAAACCAAAACAGCCTTTCCTTACAACACCACTTAAAGGGTGCACTTCCGTAATTATCTATAGGCCCGTGGTTGCTATGGACTGTAGCCCAGCTAATACAAGCCTCTTTGTGGATGAGGGCAGTTCTTACTTAAAAAGCTAAGTACATAAAATAGTGTCGGTGCACACTTAGTTACTAACACTACGGGCACCGCAACTTAAATGGCACGCGCGAATTGCTCCGCAACGCCACGCGGCGGAATTATGTATTATGCGGATGGGCGTGGCAATATTCTGCGCATGCGTAATTCCACGTATGCGGAGAACTTTCCGCAGTACTACAAAGTGTTAAGGCACGCTGATCGTCGATGGTTCGCATTACTTGGTTGAAAAATGATAAACTTAGCACATCACTTTGGCTCTTGGTAGAATGGATTATTAGGGGTGTGCATGCAAGTTTAGAATTGCTATTAACGTTACCCACCGATGCAGCTAAAGTCAAACCGGTTCCTTCGACTACGTGGCATGACCCTGCCCGGCCCACCAATTACTGAAGCCTAATTCTAATACACACGTATGCTAGGATAGGAGAAGACGAGAGGTGTGATAATGCCTGGCTACATATCATAGAGAAAATGGAGCAGCAATAGCGAGTTAATGCACTAGGGAGTTTGGGTCCTAGATTAGGGATACGAATATGTAGAGAAGGCCTCAGACAGAGCATTATATCACATAATATACAAGTAAATTAAAACTCCTGTGAATTAAATAAATAGGCATATAGGGATGGTATAAAAAGAAAGGGAGACAAGATAGGGAAGTGATACATGAAGCATCCTCAATGAACAGATTTGAGCACGCTGACACCCCCAACCTGATCACACAATCCCTATATTGTTGCCTGGTGTGCTACTCTTATAGGAATGTGGCATTACATAAAGGCTAAAGGTTACTAAAAGCAAGCATTCTTTCACCGCCTCCCCGCTGTTTTAGTAACTTTTACACTGCCACAGTTCCTTTAATTAAAGACTCTATAACGGTATTGGTTACTCAGTAGCATGACTTTTTTGTATTGTAAGTTCTGAGTATTGTAATGGTGAATGTTTAATACTTCGCAACAACTATAGGGATTGTGTGCTGGGGTTGGGGGTGTCAGCGTACTCAAATCTGTTCATTAACCATGCTTCATGTGTCCCATACCTATCTTGTCTCTCTTTCTTTTTATACCATCCCTATATGTCTATTTTTTTTTTATTTGCAGGATTTTAAATTACTTGCCTCCATTCATTTTTATACACTACTACGTATATCTCTGTGAAAAGATGCGAGCCCACTATAATAGAGGAAATGACTGTTGTCGTCATGGAAATGGTGTAATATGCATGTGTACCAAGTTTAATCTCTACCATTAGCAAGTTTGAGGAGTGAAGAGTGGCTGAAGCTATTTGATGTTGTTCAAACAATATGTAGTCGTCATGGAAACATGAAGTTGTCATGGAAATGATGTAACATGCATGCACACCAAGTTTCATTCCATGCGTGCTACTGTTAGCAAGTTGGAGGAGAAGTGCCTCAAGCTATTTCAACAATATGTAGTTGTCATATGATGTAATACGTATGCGTACCAAGTCTTATCTCTATGCGTGCTACGTTCAGCGAGTTTGAGAAGTGAAGAAGGAATTATACAGAAAAGTGCATGAGGCTATTTGTTGTTGTGGTTGTCATGGAAACGATGCATTATGTATGAGTACCAAGTTTCACCACCATGCGTGCTACAGTTAGCAAGAGTGAGGAAGTAGTTTTAAAGAAAATCGCAACAAACAATATGCGGTCGTCATGGAAACACGTAATCGTCACGGAAATAATATAGTAGGCATACATAACAAGTTTCATCTCTATGCGTGCTATCATCGGAAAGTTTGAGGAGTGAAGAAGTAAATTTAAAGAAACGTGCCTGAGGCTATTTGTTGTTGTGTGGTGATTGATGTCCACAAAGTTTCATTGAAATAGCTCTTACCATTAATTGTGAATTACACTGACACATGTGATCCTATTATAATGTATTGCCTGGGGCTATTTGCTGTTGTTTACGAATAAGTATGGCCAATCTCTTCGGGTGACAGATATACAAAATTTCATTACTACAATATTTTATTTCATATTTGAGGTACGCGAGTTCCATCTGAAGAACAAGGAGAATGAGAAGATGAATAAAAACTCCCTACCATAGCCCCATACATCTATGATGCACCATGCCCATCCCTATCACTAAGTACGGTTGTACTGAGGGATTGGCATGGTACCTAGCATCATAGATGTATGGGGCTATGATAGGGAGCTTTCTCCTCCTCCTCCTCCTCTTCAGATTCAGATTCTTCTTCTTCTTCTTCTTCTTCTCTTCTTCTTCTTCACATTCTTCTTCTTTTTCTTCAGATTCTTCTTCTTCTTCTTCAGATTCAACACCCATAACTCAAAAACGAAAAAACAAAAAGTAATGAAATTTTGTAAGAATGTAGGTATCCGTTACCCGAAGAGACTGGTCATAATTATTTCTTTGTAAACAACAACAAATAGCCCCGGGCAATACATTATAATGGATCACATGTGTCAGTATAACTCACAAATGGTAAGAGCTATGTGAACGAAACTTTGTACACATAATGTATTCACAACAACACATGTTTGTAAACAACAACAAATAGCCTCAGGCACTTTTCTTTAAATTTACTTCTTCTCTTCTCAAACTTTCCAATGGTAGCACACATAGAGATGAAACTTGGTATGTATGCCTTATATTTCCATGACGATTACATGTTTCCATGACGACCACATATTGGGTGAAAAAGCCTCAGGCAATATTCTTTAATTCTTCACTCCTCTAACTTGCTAACTGTACCACGCATGGAGATGAAACTTGGTACGCATGTGTGTAACATCGTTACCATGACTACCACAACAACAAATGCCTCAGGCAATATTCTTTAAATTACTTTTTCACTCCTAAAACTTGCTAAATATAGCACGCACGGAGGTGAAACTTGGTGCGCATGTGTATTACATCGTTTCCATGCAACTACAACAACAAATGTGACAGGCTCTGAGAAAACTACCCTTATGACGCAAAAACCGCAAAATACGTTTGTATGCTAGACCGAGAGTCCTATAAATGCTCTATAGTTTGCCGTTTGTTTCAGGGGCGTAGCCCGTTCCGTTGCGAAGTTATGAGCACAAGCGAAAGTGCCATTCCGCTGCATCTAACGTGAAAAATCGCGTCTGAAGGTGAACTTCCGGTGTCAAATTTCAACCTCCGTATTCTCGTAACAAGTCCGTGTTACAACATTGCGCGTGCATCCGGCCGCATTAATTTACTTGTACACTAAGTACTACCGTACTTAGTGATATATAATGTACAGTGCTTGTGTAACGTGGAACTGAAGGTGTGATATTGGTCGAGTGTATGTGTATGTGCAGAATATGCAGAATATTTTTCATGTGTCCATCCTAATACACCATAATTAGACTTATCGTTGTCCATACACAGTTTTAGTAGAGTTGGACTTGGTCATGTCGATCGCCTGGATAAACTTCTCGCTTAATGCAATTCTATTACAGCAACGCATATGCTTGCAAGTAGAGCGCAATAACATTTCTAAAGGGTGACATAAGCGTGCAATCCACAGAACCTGGCTTCCTAGGCACTGTAAGAAACGTAATTACAGTTCCAACCTTTCAGAAGTTTGTGCCCTGCCAAAATGGTTTATCACTGAGTATATTAAAGTTTGACACAAAAATTGTGTATGTGGGGTTTTCATGAAATAGAGCAGCAGAGGAAGGGCACCACATGTAAAAAGCAAACCTGCAATATCATCAATTATATCCGTGTATGTCCTTCGTGCTACATCCAGTAAGCCTGTGATTGAATTTTAAAAAAAAGTGACACATAATAGTGCACTAGTGCTAATGTAAATGAAAAGCACTGAAGTGCAAACCCTCGGCACACTGTAACGCGCACGCGTAAGTAAACGCATGTGCCTCACCACTAATTGATGGGCGGGGTTTAGTTTTAGCTGTTACTCGTGGTCTCTTGCCAGCTCGGGCAGTCTGACGCGGGCTAACTACACAACTAGATAGCATGCGAGAGGCGATACACGCCCTGCGTTGCATCTTCTGGTGCCTCCGAAGTACGCAGAGCACGCGGATCGATCCGACCGCGGTAAGCCCGTATTAAACCGTTGTGTATTTGCATATTGGCTTTTTCGCGCTCTAGCTTTGCAATGGAGCATTTTAAGAGAAAACCGTTCGAAATTTCTGACCTTCATTGCCCGTTCAGTAGGTGGTATCCTTTGTGTGACGAACGAACACTCGACAAGTGAGATGAAGAGTAACAGACAGACACACACACAAACCCAACTACTGTAACCCTCGCTGCGCATGCGCGCCGAGGGTTAATGAGTGATAGCTTGATGACATGAGGGTATTAGACCATGGGATGAAGATGCATTTCACACAAGGAATACACCCTCAGTTCTTATTACTACCCCACAAGGTGAGAAAAAAAATATTAATGTCCAAATTTTGTTCACCCTAAAATAAGCATTGGTATCACTAAGTACGGTAATACTTAGCATATAGGGATGGGCACGGTACCTAGCATCATAGATGTATGGGGCTAATCTATGACAAGGAGTTTTGTTCATCTTCTTCTTCTCCTTCTTCTGATTCAACACCCACAACTCAAAAACTAAACATGAAAAGCACTGAAGTGCAAACCCTCAGCGCACTGTGACGCGCACGCGTAAGTAAACGCATGCGCCATACCACTAATTGATGGGCTGGGTTTAGTTTTAACTGTTACTCGTGGTCTCTTGCCAGCTCGCGCAGTCTGACGCGGGCTAACTACACTACTAGAAAGTATGCGAGAGGCGATACACGCCCTGCGTTGCATCTTCTGGTGCCTCCAAAGTATGCAGAGCACGCGGATCAATCCGACTGTGGTAAGGTTGTGTATTTGCATATTGGCTTTTTCGCGCTCTAGCTTTGCAACGGAGCAGTTTCAGAGAAACTATGACGATTACTTGTTTCCATGACGACCACATTTTGTTTCAAAAAAGCCTTTTTTCTTTAACACCACTTCTTCACTCCTCAAACTTGCTAATTGTAGCACGCATGGAGGTAAAACTTGGTGCGTATGTGTATTATATCGTTTCCATGACAACTACAACAACAAATAGCCTCAGGCACCTTTCTTTAAAATCACTTCTTCACTCCTAAAATTTGGTTACTGTAGCATGCATGGAGGCGGAACTTGGTGCGCATGTGTTTTACTATGACGACCACAACAACAAATAGCCTCAGGCACTTTTCATTCTTCACTCCTGAAACTCGCTAACGGTACCACGCATGGAGATGAAACTTGGTACGCGTGTGTGTAACATCGTTTCCATGAAGACCACAACAACAAATAGCCTCCGGCACTTTTCTTCAAAATTACTTCTTCACTCCTCAAACGCATGGGGGTGAAACTTGGTGCGCATGTGTATTACATCGTTTCCATCACGACCACAACAACAAATAGCCTCAGGCACTTTTCTTTAAAATTACTTCTTCACTCCTCAAATTTGCTAACGGCAGCACACATGGGGATGATGCATATCATTTCCATGACGACAACAGGCCTATTATTCCCCTTCAACAGAGATAAATATAAGTTAGGCGCCGATTCGAGGAAACTACGCGGATTTAGAAAGCCTCGGGCTGTAGCTGTCCGAGCGTTAACGAGGACGCTACTAGAGGGCCTACTAATACAACCACGCCTTCAATTCAAAAGACGCCAAGCGTGCGGACGGAAGACGGGGCTTCTGGAGCGGTTCTTTTTCACGAAAAGCCAGGTACTCGGTCTTCTAGCAGGTAGCGGCGCATGACTACTGAGACCAGGCTACAGCTCCAGCGCACGCGCACACTGGCTGTGCGAAAAGCACGCAGCGAACCCGCCTACTTTTGCGTAACAGCTAGCCGGCAGAGCCAACAAGTGTCTCTCTTTCACTCTGTTAGCTTGCCTGCAGTTAGGGGTGCTGCGTCTCGAGCTAGCTATGCAGAGCTGATTAGCGTCTTCTTGAATTTTCTGTGTTGTGAGCCACGTTTCTGCGCATGATAACGATGGAATGTGCCTCGGGGAGGATTTCTATGTAGAAGTCCGCTGATCAGTCAGCGGAATACGAAGTGAAATAGTACTCCTCTGATTGACCAATAAGATTTCAGAACTCAGTAGAGCCTGGCTCTAATACCTAGTAGTATATAAAAATGAGTGGAGAAAAGTAAATTAAAAATCCAGTTGACAGTTGCAAACCAAGAATTAGCAAGGAAGTCTGCACAAGAAGGCATCGTTGAGCGACAAAAAGGTGGTAAAGTACCTGGATTAAGGAATGAACGCTAAAATTATCTGACGGCTTGTTTCTGTTGTTCTACAACCATGAGTAAGGCTTTCACTTTGTGCGAACACTGAAAAGCACAGAGCGTCATACAGGTCATTGAGGTGCTAGATTTTATGAGTGAATCAGTGTCTGTGTGCAAAGCTGCCAAAGAATCTAGAATACGAAAGAAAACCGTGTACACATTAAAGGTGCCACAAATCAGAAGAGGAAACAAAAAGAGGGCATGGGGACTCATTGTTACTTTGCTTGTTAATCTTTAGCTTGCATTATAGTCACACCACTCGGACAACAACGCTTTTTCAGAGGCAAGGGCTAATATGCAAACCAAGCATCTATCCATGCCCAAATGGTCCAGCTGGAAGTTACAGCTAGAGCTAGAGCCTCAGTCATACGTAGCTGGTGTCGCAATGCAATGGCTACCGCAGCAAAAAAGAGGTAAGTAAAAACAGTAGTTCAGGAGTTCTATATTAACATAAAAAGTAACTTTTAGTAGTTTTTCTAATGTCACAAAAAACCAATGCATTAGACTTGTGATCAAAACAAGGGGACGTTAAGGGCTACAAAATGACACCAAGCACTGCGCAATAGAGTAAAGGGCAATGAGTTATTCAAGAAAATCAACATCCATTCTTAACGTGAACGGACTAGAACTATCTTGTTTCTACTGCGATGAGTGAGACAAAACCTTGGTTATCCTGCAGCCAATGCTGAAGGCACTGTCTATCTCGACTCTTTATCGGCTCCTTGTTTAGAATTTTTGGAGGCTTTGCCTCATTAATATATTCATGAGTCAGGTCCAATAGATTTCTATATAATATATAGGTGAGGAAAACAGCACATTAATATAATACAAGTAAATTAAAAATACTGCGATAATATAGGGATGGTATAAAAAGAAAGGGAGACAAGATAGGGATGGGATACGTGAAGCATCGTTAATGAACAGCTTTGAGTGCGCTGATACCCCCAACCCCATCATACAATCCCTATATTGTTGCCTGGTGTGCTACTCTTATAGGGTATGCGGCATTATATAAGGGCTAAAGGTTACTAAAAGCAAGAATTCTTTCACCGTGCCCCTGCTGTTTTTAGTAACATTATATATCTCGGTAACAGAGAGTGAGCGCCCTATAAATATTAATAATAGAGAAAAATGCCTGTGGTTGTCATGGAAATGACGTAATACGCATGAATATCAAGTTTCATCTCATTCTGTGCTGCTGTTAACAAGTTTGAGGAGTGAAGAAGTAAATGCCTGAGGCTATTTGTTGTTGTTCAAATAATATGTGGTTGTCATGGAAACGATGTCATATGCATGCGTACCAAGTTTCATCTCCATGAGTCCTACCATTAGCAAGTTTGATGAGTGAAGAGTGCCTCAAGCTATTTGAGGTTGTTCAAACAATATGTCATCATGGAAACATGAAATTGTCATGCAAATGATGTAACTTGCATGAACACAAAGTTTCATCTTCATGCGTGCTACCGTTAGCAAGTTTGAGGAGAAGTGCCTGGGGCTATTTGAACAATATGTAGTCGTCATATAAACATGTAGTTGTCACGGAAATGATGTAATACGCATGTGTACCAAGTTTCATCTCCATGCTTGATACCGTTAGTGAGTTTGAGGAGTGAAGAAGTAATTATAGAAAAGTTCTTGAGGATTTTTGTTGTTGTGGTCGTCATGAAAATGATGTAATACACATGCGCACCAAGTTTTACCTCCATGTGTTCTACAGTTAGCAAGTTTGGGGAGTGAAGAAATAGTTTTGCTTCAGGCTTTCTGAAATAACATGCAGTCGTCATGGAAACGTGTAATCATCATGGAAATGATATAATAGGCACAAAAACCAAGTTTCACATCTATGCGTGCTACCATTGGAAAGTTTGAGAAGCAAAGAAGTAAACTTGAAGAAAGGTGCCTGAGGCTCTTTGTTGTTATTTACAAACAATCATATTGTTGTGATTTTGATGTTGGCTGTTGAATTCATTAACTATATAAACTTTCGTTCACATAGCTCTTACCAATTGTGAGTTACACTGACACATGTAGTATGCCCATTATAATGTATTGCCGTGGGAAATTTTGTTGTTGTCAAAAAGTATGATGTGCACATGTGGTTATGGATATGTACATTCCTACAAAATTTAATGGGTTTATCTCTTGTTGTAAACAACAACAAACAGCCGTAGAAAATTAAGTGCTGTTTTTCTATAACTTGCTATAACTTGCTTATGCTGGGTCTTCTAACAATGAAACTTTGTACACTTATATACTTTGGTGGTGAAGACAACGACAAAGAGTCTGAGGCAATAAATACATGTTACTTTTTATATGGGCATAATACTCCAATGCATGTGAATGCCGTCAAAAAAAGAAAAAATTGCTGGAATAAAAAGTGTGGAATATAGGGATGCAGTAGTAAAATGGGATGATGGCTACATCTTCAAACTGACATTGCTTGCTCGTGTACATTTTCCTCCACACAAGTCCCATATTGTCGCCACTTTTCCCACAACATGAATTTGTTTAGTGTGAGGACAATGGTAAAGGGATTCTCGGGAGGGCCACGGACACAGCATTTTAAAACTCATTGTTAGCTGAGCGAACATGGAAGTCTTAGACTGCACACAATGCAGTCACAACCAAGAACCGAGAAGCTGTCAGAGAGGGAAACACCCTGTCCTCCCTGTCTTTGTCTCCTTGCTTTTTATAATATGGCATCCCTATATTCCACACTTTTTTTTATTCCAAGAATTTTTTATTTACTTGTACTACGTACTACCGCATACATGCGCAATTACGTTACGTGCGTTCTACTGTATTAATTGTAAAGATTTCTGCATGTTCTGGCAGTTCAGTTACATGTACAAATAACAGGACATGCATTCAACAATGTCAAAATAGCATCGAAGACGTGTGCAACGCAATTGAAGTATAGATTTATTTATAAATGACTTGTTTCAGTCAAAGCAGCTTTCATTTTGAGGCTGAGCTTCCCCACATTTTTTTAGGTGCAATATGTATACTGATTCGGACGTTAATTCGTGTGCCATCGCCAAGACTGCCCTGCTGAGGTGCTTCAGGGAGTGGAAAAGGATTCTATGCTGCAGAACATCATGCATGTAAAAAAACAGCTGCAGTAATACTTGGCGAATTTGGGCAAAGATCGGGGGGTTCTAAAAATGCTAACTTCTCCCACAAACGTTTTGTGGTTTTTGAGCTACAGCTGCGTTTTAGAGCACGCTTCATCTGACCATACACTTCAAATTTTATACGCCATTCACACATGCGCGGGTGAGCGTAAATGCGGCCGTTAATCGGTTAGTGATTACGTATTATCTCTGTAGAAGGGGGTAAGCCCCTGTAAAAAATAATAATAGAGAAAAATGCCTGTTGTCGTCAAGTAAATAATATGCATACCACGCTTCATCTCCATGTGTGATGCCGTTAGCAAGTTTGAGGAGTGAAGAAGTAATTTTAAAGAAAAGTGCCTGAGCCTATTTGTTGTTGTGGTCGTCATGGACACGATGTTACACACATGCATACCAATTTTCATCTGCATGTGTGGTACTGTTAGCCAATTTAAGGAGTGAAGAAGTAATTTTAAAGAAAAGTAGCTGAGGCTATTGTTGTTGTGGTCGTCATGGAAACGATGTAATACACATGCGAACAAAGTTTCACTTCCATGCGTGCTACAGTTAGCAAGTATGAGGAGTGAAGAAGTAATGAAAAGTGCCTTAGGCTATTTGTTGTTGTGGTCGTCATGGAAACGATGTAATACACATGAACACCAAGTTTCATCTCCATGCGTGGTACTGTTAGTGAGTGAAGAAGTAATTTTAATGAAAAGTGCCTGAAGCTATTTGTTGTTATGGTCGTCATGGAAACCATGTTACACCCATGCGTACTAAGTTTCATCTCCATGCATGGTACCGTTAATGAGTTTGACGAGTGAAGAAGTAATTTTAAAGAAAAGTGCCTGAGGCTATTTGTCGTCATGGTAATACACATGCGCACCAAGTTTCACCTCCATGTGTGCTACATTTGAGGAGTGAAGAAGTAATTTAGAGAAAATTGCCTTTTCGAACAATATGCGGTCGTCATGGAAACGTGTAATTGTCATGGAAATGATACAATAGGCATATGTACCAAGTTTGACCTCTATGCGTGCTATGATTAAGTGAAGAAGTTAATTTAAAGAAAAGTGCCTGAGGCTATTTGTATTGTTGTGATTTTGATGTTGGCTATTGAATACATTGTGTATACAAACTTTCGCTCACATAACTCTTACCAATTGTGAGTTACACTGACACATGTAGTATGCCCATTATAACGTATTGCTCATTATAACCGGGCAATTTTGTTGTTGAAAAAGTATGACGTTGCACATGTCGTTATCGATATGTACATTCCTATAAAATTTCATTGCTTTATCTCCTTCGGTTTTTGAGTTACGCTGGTTTAAGAAGAAGAAGAAGAAGAAGAAGATGAACAAAACTCCCTATCATAGCCCAAACATCTATGATGCTAGGTATATACCATCCCAATCCCTATCACTAAGTACGGTAGTACTTAGTATACAACTAAATTAAAAATCCTGCGAATTTAAAAGATGCATAATAGGGATGGTATAAAAAGGAAGGGAGACAAGATAGGGATTGGATACATGAAGCATAGTTAATGAACAGATTTGAGTACGCTGACACCCTCAACCCCATCACATAATCCCTATATTGTTGCCTGGTGCGTTACTCTTATAGGGGCTAAAGGTTACTAAAAGCAAGCATTCTTTCACCGTGTCCCTGTTGTTTTTAGTAACATTTATACTGCCACATTCCCTTTAATTAAACTCCACTTGGACTCTATAAGAGTGTTGGTTACTCAGTAGTGTATTGTAAGTTCTGAGTATTGTAATGGTGAAAGTTTAATACTTCACCTAGGCAACAATATAGGGATTATGTGATGGGGTTGGGGGTGTCAGCGTACTCAAATCTGTTCATTAACCATGCTTCATGTATCCAATCCCTATCTTGTCTCCCTTCCTTTTTTTACCAGCCTTTTTTAAATTCGCAGGATTTTCAATTTACTTGTCTCCACTCATTTTTATATACTACTACGTATTATCTCTGCGGAACGGGGCAAGCCCCTATAAATATAAATAATAAATTGTTGTGGTCGTCATAGAAATGATGTAATACACATGCGCACCAAGTTCACCTTCATGCGTGCTACAGTTAGCAAGTTTGAGGAGTGAAGAAGTAATTTTAAACAAAAGTACCTGAGGCTATTTGTTGTTGTGGTCGTCATGGAAACGATGTTACACACATGCGTACCAAGTTCCATCTCCATGCGTGGTACCGTTAGCAAGTTTGAGGAAAGAAGAAGTAATTTGAAAGAAAAGTGCCTGAGGCTATTTGTTGTTGTGGTCCTCATTGAAACGATGTAATACACATGCGCACCAAGTTTCACCTCCATGCGTGCTACAGTTAGCAAGTTTGAGGAGTGAAGAAGTAATTTTAAAGAAAAGTGCCTGAGGCTATTTGTTGTTGTGGTCGTCATGGAAACGAAGTTACACACATGCGTACCAAGTTCCATCTCCATGCGTGGTACCGTTAGCGAGTTTGAGGAGTGAATAAGTAATTTTAAAGAAATGTGCCTGAGGCTATTTATTGTTGTGGTGTTATGCAATACACATGCGCACCAAGTTTCACCTCCATGCGTGCTACAGTTAGCAAGTTTGAAGAGTGAAGAAGTGGTTTTAAAGAGAATTGCCTGAGGCTTTTTCAAACAAAATGCGGTCGTCATGGAAACATGTAATCGTCATGGAAATGATATAATAGGCATACTTACCAAGTTTCATCTCTATGTGTGTTACCATTGGAAAGTTTGAGGAGTGAAGAAGTAAATTTAAAGAAAAGTGCCTGAGGCTATTTGTTGTTATTTACAAACATGTGTTGTTGTGATTTTGATGTCGGCTATTGAATACATTATGTATACAAAGTTTCGTTCACATAGCTCTTACCAAGTGTCAGTTACACTAACACATCTAGTATGCCCATTATAATGTATTTCCTGGGGCTATTTGTTGTTGTTTACTCAGAACTTACAATACACTACTGAGTAACCAACACCCTTATAGAGTCCAAGTGGAGTTTAAAAGGCAATTGGGCCGTATAAATGGTACTAAAAACAACAGGGACATGGTGAAAGAATGCTTGCTTTTAGTAACCTTTAGCCCCTATAAGAGTAGCACACCAGGCAACAATATAGGGATTGTATGATGGGGTTGGGGGTGTCAGCGTACTCAAATCTGTTCATTACCCATGTTTCATGTATCCCATCCCTAGCTTGTCTCCCTTTCTTTTTATACGATCCCTATATGCCTCTTTTTTAAATTCGCAGGATTTTTAATTTACTTGTATGATAGGGATTGACATGGTACCTAGCATCATAGATGTATGGGGCTATGATAGGGAGTTTTGTTCATCATTATCTTCTTTTTCTTCTTCTTCTTCCTGTTTGATCAGCATAACTCAAAAACGGAAAGAGATGTAGCTGTGAAATTTTGTAGGAATGTACATATCGATAGCCACATGGGACTCATCATACCTTTTTGTTTGTAAACAATGTTGTTTACTGTAAACAACAACAAAATTGCCCCAGGCAATACATTATAATGGGCAATACGTTATAATTGGCATAATAGATGTGTCGGTGTAATTCACAATTGGTAAGAGCTATGTGAAAGAAAGTTTGTACACACAATGTGTATTCAATAGCCAACATCAAAATCACAACAATACACATTTATAAATAACAACAAATAGCCTCAGGCACTTTTCTTTAAATAATACTTCTTCACTTCTCAAACTTTCCAATGGTAACACGCATAGAGATGAAACTTGGTACGTATCCCAATTATATCATTTCCATGAGGATTACATGTTTCCATGACGACCGCATATTGTTCGAAAAGGCCTCAGGCACTTTTCTTTAAAATACTTCTTCACTCCTCAAACTCGCTAATTGTAGCACGCATGGAGGTGAAACTTGGTGTGCATATGTATTACATCGTTTCCATGACGACCACAACAACAAATAGCTTCAGGCACTTTTCCTTCTTCACTCCTCAAACTCGCGAACTATAGCACGCATGGAGGTGAAACTTTGTGCGCATGTGTATTACATCGTTTCCATGACGACCACAACAACAAATAGCCTCAGGCACTTTTCCTTCTTCACTCCTCAAACTCGCGAACTATAGCACACATGTAGGTGAAACTTTGTGCGCATCTGTATTACATCGTTTCCATGACGACCACAACAACAAATAGCCTCAGGCACTTTTCATTACTTCTTCACTCCTCAAACTTGCTAACAGCAGCACACATGGATGGTATGCATTTCATTTCCATGACGACAACAGGCATTTTTTCTCTATTATTAATTTGCCCCCTTCCACAGAGATAATACGTAGTAGTATATAAAAATGAGTGGAGACAAGTAAATAGAAAATCCTGCGGATTAAAAAAAGAGTGCACATAGGGATCGTATAAAAAGAAAGGGAGACAAGATAGGGATTGTGTTTGTGGAAGCACAGAGATGCTAGCGAGGAGTTAGGACTCCCACAGGTCATTAGAACACCCCTATATCGTCGTACGGTGGGAGTGAAGGTTATGAAAGAGCATTGCTAAATACTGTATTACTTAATAATGATTGTTGTGTACATTTCATCGATCTGTCATGCTACATTCCCATGGAGTGTATGCATATCAAGGTTTGAGCAGTTACGTGTACTGTCGTAATAATCTGCTGACCAAAACAATGTACATGCATAACATCATTACATGGAAAACATACGTATAATACGAGAAAATGAAATTCAAGTATGCAGGGTTGCTGATACTTATGCGAGGAAGATTAAACTTCGTGGTCAAGCACTGATACGACGATATAGGGCTGTTGTAATGACCTGTGGGAGTCCTAACTCCGCGCTAGCATCTCTGTGCTTCCACAAACACAATCCCTATCTTGTCTCCCTTTCTTTTTATACGATCCCTATATGCACTCTTTTTTAAATCCGGATTTTTTTTACTTGTATACTAGATTATACCATGCCCATCCCTACATACTAAGTACTACCGTACTTAGTGATGTATGATGCAACAGTAAAGATTCAATTACACTGCTAACCCACTTGCAGGTCCCCCTCGACAGAAGTGGCCCATCCAGACCGCATTTCAAAGCGAATAAAGTTTGAAGTACTACTTACTATCCCGCATAGTGAATTGGTTTGAACGACTCCAGTGGGTGTAGAGCTAGCTATATTTCGCTTGGGGCAGGCATGAGCAACTCACCCAGTGTCTAATTGATGTGCTGAGCTAAGGTTAGCTGAGAACGCCATTACGCATGTCATCATTTTATCACGTGAGTTTCACATAACCCTTAGAAAAGTAGTTCAACTCTTGCCTACATCGTTATCTAGAAGTGTATGATTTCTGCGGCCAGACTAACACCAAAGACAAACTGTGCGCCGAGGGTTACAATAAATACAGAGACTTCTTGAAGCTGCAACAAAAATAAGAAACCTTACACAAAAAATTATCTCGCTCAACACTCACTCAGAGCGAACAAGACTGTGAGTGAGAAACTATGTGACACACTTGTGGTTCAATTAAAGGGTTACCGTTCATTCCAGAGCGAACAGCAAAACACCTTTGTGTTTTCATGTTTAGTGAGCATTTTTCATACTGAGTATCATCATGAAGTACAAGTGAGATTTTCTCGTGCATTTGACGAAGGCGATTATCTTGCAATATCTGCATCGGTAAGGTTAAGGTGTAAAGAAGGAAAAAAACTTTATAAATGTAACTACGTACCACTGCAAGTGGCAGAGCATACAGAGTTTATGAGTGAAAGATGTAAAGGGCACTGTATGCCATTGTGTCTTGCAGAAAGTTTGGTATTAAGAGTGTGTATATTTGCTGAAACAGTCTGGCACACAAACTAAACTGTACATTCAATCAAGTAAGCGCCAAAGTAACCGAAAAAACATTTTCAGCGCATTTTCAGACAAATGTACATTAGCCTTACCGTTGCATAGGCAACAAGCAGTTCACTCTCTGAAAATTTTATGGCTTCAAGAAGAGTAGAAACAAGTTCCAGAGTGTGCTTCAGATGAATTACCTACACAAACATTAACAAGGCATAGTCACAGAACTGGTTTTAAATGATAGAGGACAAGCCAAAGATTTCAGCATCAACTAGATTCTACACATTTTTTTCACAGTCTAGGCTCTGTCTAAAGTGAGTTTAAAAATAGCAAAACCTTGTTCGCGAAGCGTTGTCTGAATTAGGTGATTATCAGTGTCTGAATTACAAGGTTTTGCAAAAGGTAACACCACAGAGTAGGGGACCAAAATTGTTTTAATGCAGCACCTCTGTAGCCCACCACACCTTCTTGTGACCCAACACAACCGTATTTGGAGTGCTCTAAGAACCAAAATTTGCCATGCAAAATCTGTCATTATAGCAGTAATTCTTACTAATCCTGTACTTGAATCCTTTTATAACACAAGAGTGTCGCTCTCTACTTCGCATTGATGATTTTACAAGCACACATGGTTTGCGTATAGTCTAATTACTATGCATGTGCACCTGGCATGGTAGATATTGCGTGGTTTCCCGACACACAACTAGGTTTTAGTGAGGACACTGGTCACAACAAGTTTCTATAATCTTTCAGTTACGAAATCGGCTTTGTGCTCCATCCTGTTTTTTTACTGCTCTCTTAAGCACATGAAATTTTGCAAAAAATCGAGCTACTACTGCCACAATAAGTGCAAACTGATGCCCTCCTGTTGACTGTGGATAGAAGGTGATGTCATAATGATCTCATAATCATGCCGCACACAATTATAGCCACGGACTTACTTGGCCACTTATGGGGATTGCATGGGTGGTTTTTACGAGATAATGCTGCCATTCCGCATGCCTACTGTGTCAAAGTTCATAAAATTTTGTTGCCATTTCTAGACGTGTGTAAATAATTCTTTTACCCACATTCTGTTCCAAATACTGGGATCACACCCTTCACCTATATGTCTGTATGCATAAGATGGGCACCATACAACACCCTATTGCACCCGTCACAGACATTGTTGGTGATTGTACTGTACATGCGTACAATAAGACAGTAGCTATAACACACCTTTGTTATTTTGCTCTCTGCTGTTTTCATGTTGTCATTTTTAGGTATTTTGATGCACAGAGATAACAAATGATCAACATCTAAAAATTGCCCCAATACGGATTCAACACTGTAAAACATAACCTGCAAAGAACAATTTAACTTTGCACCAATTAACATGTACCCACATACCTCATTTTCTGTCAGCTCTAAAAAAGAGACAAGACACATTTATTTACCGTAAAACATGTTGTGTACCATTTTTATACAAGAAAAAAATTCAG